CCCTGCCACTCCAGCCTGTGCGTGGGGACCAGGGACGGCCCTGCCGCTCCAGCCTGTGCGTGGGGACCAGGGACGGCCCTGCCGCCCCAGCCCGTGAGCACCGAGTTCTGGGCAGGACCCTCCCTCACAGCGGCCACTCACTGCTGAGGCTGGGCACGGTGTTGGGGACCAGGCCCCTCAGCTTCTTGAGGGTGTTCACAGCCACGTTCAGGTAGATGTTCTTGCTGGGGCTGCGCTCATACGCCACCTTCTCCTCGTTCAGTGCCTAGGCAGGACACAGTGGCACCGGAGCATCAGCAGGAGGGCCAGCTGCACTAGGCGACAGCAGGCAGGCTCGGGACCAGGGGACCCCGCACAGACCCCGCCGTGTATTCCGGGGACACACCGGCAGGAGGAGCCTGCTGCCCACGGGGAAGTGGGACAGGCAGTGGACCAAGATGCCTAGATAAGAGCCAGGGAGACACACGGGCCCTCCCTGGCCTCAGGCCAAGGCCACGGTGACCAGGGCTCCCTGTCCCGCCTCCCCCCCCCCACCTTCTCGATGGCCTCCTGGTTGGACGGGCAGAACTTGAGACACTCCTCGATGAAGAGGTTGAGATAGCGCTGCCGCACCACAGTGGGGACCTTGCCGCCAAATTCTTTTGGGATAACGGGCTTCTTTAGACTCTGGAGGAAAGAGACGGGTGGGGGGGGGTCAGGACACAGAGCCTCTGGGGAAGACGGGAATGGGCTGTCCATAGCCTGAGCCCAGCCATGGATTCTGGAGGAAAAGGCTGGGGCTGGAATGGTCAGGGGCGGGCCTGCCGCCTAGAACCCCCGTGAGGGGCTGGGCCGCGGCCTGGGCATAAGCCTGCCCGGTTCGCAGGAACCCGGCTTCCTCCTCAGTACTAGGAGACAGAGCACACTGCCAGGCCGACCCAGAACCCTAGCGGGGACAAATGAGCAGAGGGGGGCAGAGCTCTGGGCCCTCGGAGCCCTGCGAGCTGGGAGGGGCCAGCTGGGCACAGGTACCTGGAGTGATGGGCTGTGGGCGATGCGCTTGGGGGTGACAGTGGTGGTGGTCTTTGATGCCATCCCTGACAGCGTGCGTGTCTTCAGTGGCTGGCTGCCAGGCTCAGGACCGTGGGACGCCTGGCTGCTGCTGGCAGGGAGCGCCCTCTTGGCACCTGTCGGGGCTGGTGGGGGACAGGGGACGTGAGCACAGGAGGACAGGAGGCCCATGACGGAGCTGCGGAGCACCAGGAAGCTGTGGTCATTGAGTGTGAGCAGGACACGCATCTCGCAGCGCAGCGGGGGCCGGGGTGCCGTGCTCGGGGTGTGGAAGGACATGGGACTCTAGCTGCCCTGGGGCAAGTCCATGGAGGTGGGGAAGGGCCACACGGCTGTGCAGGCCGGCTCAGGCAACGCCGCGGTCGGGACAGTCTGGCAAATGGCAGGGTGTGCTCGGGGCCTCTGCCGCATGTTCCAGCCCCCAACTCCGAGGCATTGACGTCTGAGGGGTAGCCCTGGCTCCTAGGCACAGGACTAGAGGGCCTGGGATGCCCTGGCCCGTTCATTGTGACAGGCTACCTGCCTGTCCCTGTCATGAGGTCACAAACCATACAGTCTCCGCCCTGGCAGTGGGTGGCCAGGGTTGCCCCGATTGTTAATGCAGGGGTGTGGGGTGCCTGACCATCAGAGCCCCTGGAAGAAGGGAGACAGGGACTAGGGACGTCTGCCTCTAGTCAGGATCGTCTCTGGAGAGGGCCAGGGAGCAAGACCAGGCTGCCTTTGCCATCCGTCCTGGAACCAACCCGAGGCTGTGCTCGTCAAGAGGGCTCCCCATGCTCTCTTAGTCCCACAGGAGGAGGGCACACGGGCATGATAACCCAGCCCTGTGAGCAAGCTACGGCAGGAGCACCGCGGCAGATCAAGGTGCGTGTCTGGGGACAAGGGGGTGCAGAACCAGAGCGGCCCTAACAAGCCCTGCTGTGGCTGGGGCCAGGAGCCTTCCCCATGGCTGGGCCGTGGGCATGAACAGGAACAGAGAGTCCCAGGCACCGCAGCCCTGGGGAAGGCAGGAAGAAGGCCGGGCCCAGCAGCTCTTCCTGACTGGGCCACAGGCTCCCGTCATGACTAATGAGAAGTGGTCTGTCCTGACGGCAAGACCCTCCCTGGGAGCCATGAGCAGCAGCCCGACCGACGGCCTGGGCAGGGTGTGTTCTGGGGGGGGCGGGGGGGCTGTGCTCAGCACAGATAGGACTACTCCAACCTGACCTTCGGAGCCGCTGCCCACCCCAGGTAGACCCAGGCAAGTCCACCGAGGGTCCCTGGACTGGGACAGTCCCCAATGACCCTTGGCCTCCAGCATCCCAGGGCCTGAGTCTGGGAGGAAGTGAGGAGCTGCCCGGCCTTCCGGGTCATCCTGTCCCTGCTCCAGTCAGCCAGCCACCAAGGCCCCGGCAAGGTGGTGCTCAAGGCCACGTACATCAGACAAGTCCCCAGGGTGCTGCTTCCCCCTGTACCCCAGATGCTGGGGTTGGGGGTCCGAGAAGGCGGGGCCAGGACTTACTGGTGGCCAGGAGGGGGTTGGGTACGTGAGCAATCCTCCTCTTCTCCCCAGGGGCAGAGATATGCACGGAGGAGAGTCTGTCCGTGGGCCTCGGGGCCACCTGCAGCCAGCTGGCGGAGTCCCTCTGCGCCTGCTGCGCCCTCCGGTAGCACACCTCCTGAGCAGTCGGGGGCCGGGCTGGGGGGGCCACGGGGGCCCTCCTTGGGGCCTCTGCCTGAAAGAACACAGGTCTTGGAGGCCAGCTGAGTCAAGAGCACTCGAGGCAGGCTGGATGAGGAGCCCCAGGGTGGGGAAGCCTTCCCCCTTCCCAGCTCCTTGGCTTCTGGAGACCTTGATCCCAGCGTCCCACTGCCCAGCAGTACGGGGATAACGGTGGCACTGGTGACCTGTCTGCGCACATCTCAAAGATGAAGCCTTCCTGAGAAACTGCATCTGGGACCCTGCCCCCGTCCCGGGAGGCTTTAAGGACTGAATGTTTGTGGGCCCGAGCTTGTGGTCGCAGCCCTGGGTGGGTGGCCTCTCCTGGGGTTCCCACTGTCTCCCCGCCACAGCGGAGGCAGCCTGGGCTCGGGCTGGTGAGCCCGCTCAGCCCCACTACCCACTGGAGCCCTCCCACTCCTCCCTGAAGCCCCTGGGCCCAGGTCAGGACAGCGGACAGGAGCGGACAGGGAGGGCACGCTTCTCTACTGAACACCAGCTTACCAAAGGCCAGCTCAGGAAGCCTGGGGTCCAGACCGGGGGGCAGGCCTTCTCCCTCCAGCTCCCCACCCTCATGCCCAAATCTGGGTCTTACCTCCTTGCCTGGCTTGCAGAGGTGGGAGACCCTTCTCTTCTGCCCCGGGAACAGAGTGGTCAGGCCCGCGTGCGCCTTCTCCACGGCCTTCTCCTTGGGGGGCTGAAAACACACAGGCACTCCTCACTCCAGGTCTTCCTTGGGGCGCACCCCTGCCTTTCCACCCAGGCTCACGTCACCACCAGACCTCAGGCGGTCCTGCCGGTGAGAGCCCTACCCAGCGGGATCAGCACCCTGCGGCCCAAGGCCCGCCCCAGCACCTGCCTCCCAGGCTAGGGTGGCAATTCTGTGGACAGAAGGACAAGTGGGCACGGCCCTGCTGCTGCCCCCACACCCAGCCCAGGATGACGGCTCAGACACGGAGTGCCAGTCAAGGGCATCATCCCCGTAGGCCTAGTGCTGGAGGGAAAGGGCCAGTCCATCTTTGTCTGTTCAGGGTGAGTGCCCCCTGGTGGCCAGCATGGGGACATTGAAGGGGGACACCCAGATGGGTCAAGGCTGGCCTGAGACAGGCCAGCCAGGGAGAGAGGAGAGAGGATAGAGGCCAGAAGAGGAGCAAGAGCTTGGGGGTGGGGGTGGGGGTGGGCGGGCAGAGGAGGAGAGAGGCCAAAGAGCTGGGGACAGGAAGTGTGAGGCAGGCGTGGGGCGGGAGGGCCCGGTACCCCTTTGCCGGTCAGTCTGAACGGTCAGTCGGACGCTGCCACGGGAAGCCGGCTGGGTGGGTAGAAAGCCAGCATCCTCGTTCTGGGCAGGGTGCAGGGGGGCAGCAGGCGGCCACCGAGGGTTCCTGAATTTTGAATGGAGTTAAGAGGCCGGTGCTGAAGGAGCGGCTTCTGCCTGGGTCACAGAGGCTGGAGTCGGCTGGAGACGGCTGCGGGATGGAGTGTCCCCTCACAGGGCCCTCGCCTGCCAAGGCCAGCGCCCTCACCTGCCGGGCCAGCCGGCCCTTGTCCTCCGTCTTCACACTGGTAGACTCATTGAAGATCCGCAGGCACTCCTCCATGGGGTCCGCATCGAAGTCCACCTCCTTCTCCAGGGCCGAGTAGTCCACGTCCTCCTCTGCACACTGGCTGGCTCCCGAGGAGGAGGAGGAGGAGGAGGAGGATGGGGAGGGCGGTGCGGGGGATGCGGGCGGCTCGGCCTTGAGACGCTTGGGCACCTGTGTCTCACCCAGGCCCAGGCTGGAGTCGGAGTCTGATTCTGAGTCTGAGCTGAGGCTGGGAAGGGTGGGGGGCCAGACCCGGGGTGCCTTGGTCCCCAAGCCTGAGTCCTCCTCCTCCTCACTCTCATCCCCAAACAATTCAGCGTGGCTCAGGGCCCGCTTCTTGAGCTTAGGGGCTTCCTGGGGGGCACTGTCGTCCAGGGAGCGGGCCTTGCGTTCCACCAACTTCCCTGATGATGTCTTCCGATCACTGCCGCCTTTGCAGGCCAGCGAGGCGTGGGGGCCAGACCCAGAGTCTTGGGGCCGGGGCCCTCCGCTGGAGGAGCGGCCTGGTCCCCCTTTCCCTGAGCTGGCCACTGCAGTGGTGTTGGATGGCTTTTTCTTGGTCCCTTCGGAGCCCTGGGCCTTGCCCCGGGGGCCGCCAGCTTGTGTCCTCTTCTTGTCTGCAGACACCTTCTCCTTCTCCCGGGGCCGTCCCGGGTCCTTGTCTTTCTTCTTGTCTCTTTTGCGGGCCTTGTCCTTGTGGCTGAGGCTGGCTGGTGCCCCACTTTTCTTCCTCTTGGCTTTGCCATCCTTGGGGACCCCAGCATCGTGAGAGGCCTTGGCTACTGGGTCTGCCGCTTTCGGAGGCTGCCCGAGGTCTTCCACGTCATACTGCACAGCCATCTCCTTGGTGTCCCGCAGGCTGCCTGCCACGGGCTCCGGGCCCTCCTTGGAGGCAGGCTTCCCAGGCGCCTTGCTTTCAGGTTCAGCCCCAGCCTTGGGGCTGCTGACATCGGCCTTCGCCGGGCTAGCCACCTCATCTTCTGAGTCTGAGAACCTGGCCTCACAGCCACCGAAGGGGTCACAGGGCTTCTTGATGGCAGGTGTGTAGGGCTCAGCACCCCGGGAGCCTCGCGGCCGCTTGGCGGCCCTCTCATCCCTGGCACTGGCCCTGCCAAGGTGCCGAGCTGAGTAGTTGGACAGTGGGTCGTACTCTAGATCTGTTGATGGCTTTGAGCTGTCCACCACGTACTTGCCACCAGACACGGGTCGACCATAGCGGCGCGGCTGGCCCACAGCCTTGGGGACATACTCCAGGGCACTGGTGCCCCCTCCAACTCTGCCCTGACCCCTCTCTGAAGGGGCCAATGAGTACTTGTGACCTGGTTCCGCAGGGGCAGCCAGTGGGGTGGGCTGGTAGCCTGAGTCTGGGCTCAGCAGGCCCCCTGGTGTGTAAGTGAGGGCCAGCGAGAAGGTGTCGTCGTCATCCAGGCTCGCGGCAGGGCTGCAGGGCGCCAGGGCCGAAGCCCCGGCCCCGTGGCCCCGTGCCGTCTCCAGGAGCTCCTGGTAGCGCCTCTGCTCCAGCTCCACCTCGCCGCGCACAGCCTCGATGGCTTGGTTGACCAGCTCCAGCTCCAGCATGCCATCACCTTGGCCCAGCGCGCCATTCTCTCTCTCCGCAGGAGGCTGAGGCAGCTCCGGGTTGTACGGGTCATAGCCAAGCCCTGGGAGGGAAGGGAACACGGACAGCCCTGAGCCGGCCTGCCAGAGATGGGCAAGGTAAGAGAGCCAGCTTTCCACAGCCGACACACCAGGCTTGGGCCCGAGGACATCCCACCATGACGCCGTGACGCCGCTGGGTCGGGATCGCCTGCCCTATGCCAGGACCTGTGCAGAGGATGACTGACGGGTGCTGGGGGTGTCTAGCTCAAGGAAGGGAAGGGTCTGGGTCTTCACGGACAGCACTGCCAGGGACCACGGGCTCCCTCCCCAGCACCACATAAACCAGTCACAATGGCTCACAGCCGTCACCCAACTCTAGAAAAGGACAGGCAGGAGGAGGGTCAGGAGTTAAAGCAAGCCTTTGCTACATCGTGAGTTCCTCTGTCAAAAAGGGGTACAGAGAAGTGAGGTTCCCAAAGACCTTTGGGCATGGCCTGGAGACCACCAAGGTAGTCAGTCATGTTACCCACAGGACCTACCAGGAATTAAACCCCCACAGCTCAAGGCTCTAGCTGGCCTGCAGCACTGTCCCCAGTGAGTGGGTCTCACTTGGCTTTACGGCCGGCTCAAGCTCCGGGGCCTCCATCTCCCCAGTGCACCCCACCACGGCCAGCTTTCCTGGAGTGATCGCCCTTCACTGATCACCCTTACCTCACCCATCCCTCCTCTTCACAGAGGACACAGAGAACTCACACTGCACTTGTGGAGGGACCGAGTCCACACCCTCGCCGTGGGCCCACAGCAGGCAGCTCACAACCCCGCAACCCCATCCAGTCTACCTCTGGCCTCCATACGGACCTAACTCACACCCCCACACACATTCAAACACAATTAAAAGGAAAAATCTTTTTTTAAAGCCTTAATAAAGAGATCAGTAGTTATGGTGTGATCCCACCAGTATAAGCAAGAACTGTATGGCCCAACCACGTCTATCTGGATGAGGGGTGGGGTGCAGGCACACTGTTGATATCCCCCTCTGAGCACTGTCCCCAAGGGAAGCTGGAAGAACACGCAGTCGAGGTGTAGATCAGGGAGGGGAGTCTGTTCCAAATCAGCTGGCCTTCTCAACAGCCCATGCAGCCCTGCTGAAGGCCAGGCCCCAGACACTTGCAGAAAGCCCAGGAGACGACCCTGTGGCTGATGACCCTGAGCTGGGGACCATCCTGCATCAGCAGGGCCTGGGCCTCCACAGGGTGGTCCTCAGGGAGGTAGGACTGGACTCGGGAAGGGCCTCCAGCATGAGCAGGGTGAGGCTGGAGGAAGTGCAGTCTTCCATGACCTCCCGCAGCTGTGTGAAGCTGACAGCCTGAAATACAAGCTCTGCCATGAAAGACAGCACAGTGGGGGCACCTGCAGGGAGTTCACATCTGCAGGCTGAAGGACAAAAGAGGAGATGCTCACAGGAAGGGCAGGAACTTGAGGACAAGAACTCAGCCCACGCTGGGAACTGGCCAGAGCCCACTGACTTGTGGGAGGGGTTGGGGGAGACCGGGAAACAGGTGAGCTGCCTCTCACTTTTCTTTAGTTCTCTGGGGCGGGATCTCAGTATGGCGTAGCCCTAGCTGGCCTGAATATGCTGGAGTGATGCCAGGCTGGGCTGGGTTCTTAGAAAGTAACATTCCAACAATCAGAGGCAGCGGACCAGCCCCACGGGAGGCTGAGGCAGAAAGATCAGAAGTTCAAGGTCAGCTTAGGCCAGCAAGGCCCGATCTCAAAAGAAAAAGGTAAAGGGGGGAGGCTCAGTAGCAAAGACCTTGCCTAGCACACCCAAAGCCCCCGGAGGGAGTGGGGGAGGGAGGGAGGGAGAGGAGATGAGGGGTAAACTCAGAAACTAAACTGAATGCTATGCCCAGGCCTTCTGCAAGCAATGCCCTGTCTGGTGAGCTCCCCCTCTGGCTTTGGTATGTGAGTCACCGGAGGGTTTACACACAGAGGTCAGAGGACCCATGTGGGTTCCAGGGGTCCCTGGGTGCCGTCTGCCTTGGGGCAAGCGCTGAGCCGTCCAACGGCCTTTCTGATTGCTTGTTTGTTTCTTTGAGACAAGGTCTTGCTCTAGCTCAGGCTGTCTGGGAACTCATGGTGATCCTCCTGCCTCAGCCTCCCAAGTACTAGAGTGGCAGGTGTGAGCCACCATGTCTGGCAGGCCTAGACTTTGAGCACACAGCTACCAGGAGCTGGGCTGTCTGCAGCTCACACATGGACACAGGGCAGCCTCAAAGGGGCGGCCTGATCCTGAGGGCCTCTGCCTCACCATCCTCCTGAGGAACGGTCCTCTGGGGGACCTTGTGACCCTCCAGGACTCGGGGCACATGGGGAGGGGACCCTGGCACCACACTGTAACCTTCAGAGGACCACCTGGGAGACCGTGAACTGCAAGGGAAAGACCACACACACTTGGGGACACCAGTGTATGGACTGGGGCCCAGGCTTAACAAGAGAGAGAGCAAGCCGAGCACCAGTGTTTACCTCTGCTCTATGAACTCAATGAGCAGCTGCCTCCATCCACCTGCCTCCATCCCTGCCTCCATCCACCTGCCTCCATCCACCTGCCTCCATCC